TGGGGAACCGCTGTAGATGGAGAAAAGAATTTCATATGAGATTTTGCACATGATTTTTACAGCACAATAGCTTGTGTATTTCCAGACTATGCTGTAGATCTGTGAGAAATTTCCTTCATCATCAACTTGCCCTTATGGAGGGTCGGCAATATGTGCTGCTCTTCCATACATCTCTATCAGTCATATCTGAAACCACTTTTTAAGCTCTCTTTCTCACAATCCATCCATACTTTCTTCTGTCTTCCTCTTCCTTTGTAGCCACATTCATTATTAACACTTTCTGGTTTATGTCTCGTCGCTTAGCATGTCCATACCACGCTAACCTTTAGCTTTTCAATTTCTCCACCACTGGCGCTACTTTCAAACTTCCTCTAATATACACATTTTCAACTTTGACAAATTTCCTTGTGATACAATATTTATCAAAACAAAATGTTCATCCAAACTTTCGTATGTTAAGTCTCCTTCTTATCATTCGACATTATGAAATTCAGAATTGTTTTCTTCGTTGTTATAAGTTGGGATAGTTATTTAATTTATTGTATTAACTAAACCCTTTAAAGGTAATCTTAAAAAAATATTTACCAATGTCATAAAAACTACAGAAGTAACGAACATTTGTAGTTCAAAGTGTGAAAACTTTCAAACAATCAAAATCGAAGAGAAAAAACAACAATGAAATTACTTTATATATTCGAATAGCAAAAATACATCATGAAATCAAATTTTTCCTTCCGTAGGTGAATCAGTTTCATTCAAAAATAGTCCAATTAATACACGGTTACCGGATGTACTATCGACGGGTTGGTTTTTTGCAAACGAGAACGTCATTTGACTTTGTAATATCTCGCCAGAGCTCGGCCTCTTTGCAAGTCAATGTTCAACAGATGGTCAATTTATTCGCCACTGGCGTCACCTAGCGGCGAGTAGTCGCGAATTATCTGTCACGTTGACCTACGAGAATTTACACATTTTAATTCGGGTCAAATCAAATATGAATTTAAAACATACGAACTAAGAAATGAAAGTTTAATTCTAGAATTATTAAACAATTTAATCCAACCAATTTGTACCGATATTAAAACAACATAATGAAACTTTACTTAAAGCTAAGTATCCCTCGGGAACCGGACATTTCTCGGGGATGAACCTTATCTCATGAGTACTCCTTTGTTTTATATCTGTGCCAAATTTCAATAAGATATGTTGAACCGTTGCAGAATGATCGATTAAACATTAAAAAACTAAATTAATGAATCCCACGGGAACCGTAACTATTCCAGACATAAAAAGCAGCCTATGTATTCTTCCAGACTATGCTCTATTTCCTCCCTTCAGCCGTTTAGGCTACAAACGCTAACAAACATCCATCCATCGTAACTTTCGCATTTATAACATTTATATGATATATGAATCGTTCCGAAATACAGCCTTTAAAAGTCTACACTTTAAAACGATCTTTTTTAACACAATTTACTACTAAGTACTAAATAATAGTAATATCTAGAAATAAGTCCAGCTGCAGTATGTTAAGATTTCCTTTGAAATATTCAACGAAAAATTCTGCTTCATTTTGCAGTCGCATTGAATTTCATTACTTCCTTGTTTTTTATGCAGACAGAACGATACTAGTTATACATGGACCCTCTATACACACTTTTAAAGCTTATATATCTGTTTGAAAAGTTATATCACGTTGCAATGTTGCCGGAGTTTTGTTATTTTCTGTAGTATTTATGTTAAATAACGATTTTATTCCGATCAGTATATATTTTTATTACGATTAAATTTTAAATTAAGAATTGTTATAGGTTATAAGGGTTGTAACGAAACTCTTCTTCCGCATCCGCAAGTGCGGAACTTCCACAAGAAATAACTCCGCATCCGCTTCCGCTTCCGTTATTTCTTATGCGGAGTTATAACGGTGAATTTAAGTCTTTAACGCGAGTGAGGCGATTAGGTCTCGTTTTAGCGGCCTGCGTGATATGTCAACTAACTATAATTGTTATACAATAATAAACTATATCTTGTAATTATGCATCGATCTGTATTTTGGTTTAACGTAGTTTTAATTTTTATTTCGTTTAATAAATCGCAATTAACATTTTATTATTCGCTTCCGCTTCCGTTAAAATTGTCTCCGTTACAACACTAGTTATAAGTCAGTCTTTCAGATGTTTTATTACGATATTTGACTATAATTTAATAAATAATTGCTTGTAATACAATATATTAAATAAAACTTACGGTTAATTTGTATGTTATTATCCAAATCATTTTTAGGATTGTCGATTTGCGCACTAACGATGTACGCGCTCTGCAGCGACACCAGCGCCGCGGCGATAAATAGCGACACTAATTTAAACATCTTCGCTATTCGATAACAGATGGCGGTAGTATCTCCTGAAACCAATGAAATTAAAGTTTTGAGAAAATTGTTTTAAAATCAAAAAATAATCTCGTACAATTAATTTTATTTTACAAATTGATTATATTTAAGATTAAAAACTTATTATAGAAAACAGATATTAATGGAATTAATAAAACAAAATGCAATTGAAATAATATTAATACTGAAAATTGGAAAAGGCAACAGAAACGGCTTAAAACTTTTTTTGCTTACAAGGAATTACTCTTTGATTTGTAACGAAATATAAAAAAAATAAGGACAACGTTAAAAATTATTAACAATAATTTATTTCCTCATGATTTTATGATTAAAATATAGTTTATTAAATACATTTATTGTCTATTATAAACATTAGAAATATTAAAATTTAAAAAAACGCCAACGATCATAAAAAAAGTAATATAAGTCACGCACAAGAAAAACGAAAGGAAAACTTAGATCACATATCGATAAACTTAAAAACTATTACGATGTATTTATTACCCGCAAAATAACTAAAGACAAAAACAATCATAAAGAATAAAATACAATTTATTTCAAATAATTTCCAATAACTGTTAAATTAAATTTTTATAACCTTACGTTACGTTAACCTAAAAAATGACAATTAAATTAATGAAAAAAAAAACTGGATTATTGTTTTTATTACTAACAAATTATTTTAAAACAAAAATGTGCACAAATTTAAAATCTGTACATACCTTTTGAAATTGTTTAAATCCGATATCGTTCACGACACGTTCTCATCCGATCAAGTCTAGGAGGTTGTGTTGCTTGTATGGATAAGTCTGGAATATGGACTCTCACAAACCAACAACCCCTTTTATACCCACCGCTGGTACGGGGTGGCTACGTGTTGGTTGTCAAGTACACGAATTATTTGCCGCTGGTCTTTAATTAAATTTATCCGTTTATAAATTACATGATAGATTAAATCTTCCAAATTTTAAAAATCTAATCTCATTTCATTCTAAATTTAAATCTATTTGATATTGATTAAATGTAACGTCGTGTTTTGTTTCTAATTCTAAATTCAAATTATGTTTTGTTTCTTTATAGTTTTTTTTTTTTTAATTTATAACAGTTTCTGAAATTGAGATTACGTTTATAAACCCATATTATAAAAACGTTCTTAACTTTAATGGAAAATGTATTTTATTGGATTTTTTTGTGCAGTTAAAATTATTCCAATTTCGTTCAATTTAAATAATAAGTATTTTCACTTTTTTATTATTACTGTATTTTAGATTTATTTATTATTCTGAATTAATATTTTTATGTAATAAAAAACTTTACTTACTAAACTGTCCAATACATCATTAGTTAAAGGTTTTTTTTAATTCACAAGGCAAAAGTCATCTTCCTGCCAGTTGTCACCTGCCTTTCGCGCCAAATGCTCGCGTTTACGTCTATGACTGTCGTATTTCATCATCTTTCAACCATTCAATACGGAATTCCGATGATTCACCTAGACATGAATGCATTACTGCATGCAATTTTAAACTTTATAACTATATGACTATTGTCGTTTTTCGCTTGCATTAAAATACGGGTCTGAACACGTCCTATGACGTCGAATTGCTAGAAATCATTTTGACAAGTGTCTTCTTGTTATAAATCAATTTAACAAACTTTATCTTGCAGCTGTAGGAATGTGATTAAGACTCTATTTCCATACGAATTAAGTCGATATTAAAATGATTTTGGTTTTGACAACTGCATTTGTATGTTGGTACAAATATCACGTGTGGTATGAAAAAAAAATTGATTACTGCGTCGTACGTTACATCGGAATGTGGGCTCGACTATGTAAGGATGGTGACACATTGGGTGGATAACGTGAGAAGAGATGGTTGCATAGTATTTTTTTTTTTAATTAAAATCAATCGCTTGGAATAGGTTTTGGTTTGTACTACGTTTACTTCTAATGAATCGAAACCATTGGTGAGTTTTGACTGTATTTTTAGTAGGATATTCTCAAGACATCAGACAAGGCTTGCGGTGAAAAAAATTTAAAAAAATCATCATCAACCTGTTTATTTTTTTTACAAAACATTGGAACAGTCTTTATATAACACACTTCATATAGACTAGCGTATTTAAAAAATCCTTGCATTTAGATAGACTTATGACGTAACACGGACCTATTGGCTTTAACTAGCATCTTGATATGAAATAGGTCAGTAAACTTTTAATTACCTTTATTATATCTCCACTACATTGTAGAACGTCATCGTAGTAAGAATTGCATCATTTGTCTAATCAAATGTCTACATAAAATCATCAACATCAACATCTCCTATCTCTTTCTAGATGGTAACACAACAGTGGTAGAGCCCGCTTTAACATCTTCGCACTCTAGGGTCGGCTCGCCCCCAGCAATACCACGATCACATAGAAGACAGGCGTCAAGTGGAAGCATTCCGTGTACAGTCTGATGAGTGTGGTGCCGGAAGCCCAACTTCATTTCTTTCAATCCTTTTTCTCTCATTAAGACAGGAAAGAGAATATGAATTTGACGATGTGGAAGACGCATAGG